AATCTTTTTTCTTAATGTTGCTGTTTTTCTTCTGGTCTCATTCCAAACAATATCTGTAAAATATTGACTGCACTCTCACAATACACCCGGCATCAGGGAGAGGGAGAGGGGAGCTATGACGGGGGGGTGGGGAGGAGAAAAGAAACAACTGTAATAATCTGAACAATGAAGGTTTAATTAAAAAAAGAATATATGCACCCCTATGTTTATTACAGCATTATTTACAATAGCCCATTAGTAGATGAATGGATAAAAAAGCTGTGGTACATTTACATGTGGAATACTACTTGGCCATAAAAAGAAGGAGGAAATTCTACCTTTGCAACATCATGGATGGACCTGGAGAGTATTATGCTAAGTGAGAGAAAGACAAGTACCCTAGGATTTTATTTATATGTGGAATCTAATGAACAAAATAAACTAACAAACAAAATAGAAACAGACTCATAGATACAGAGAACAGACTGACAGATGTCAGAGAAGAGAGGGTAGGGGGATTAGGTGAAAAAGGTGAAGAGGTTAAGAAAAACAAAACAGACACAGGCTGTATGGTGATTGCCAGAGGGAAAGGGGAGTGGGGGAGGTGGAAGAGGACAAAGGGAGAAATGGTAGCAGAAATAGACTTGACTTTGGGTAGTGAGCACACAGTGCAGTATGCGGATGATGGGTTATAGAGTTGCACACTTGATACCTGTATGGTTTTATTAACCAACTAAAGGCTCAGTGCACAAAATTTGTGCACTTGGGGGTGGGGAGGTCCCTCAGCCTGGCCTGAGCCCTCTCACAGTGCGGGAGCCCTCGGAGGGATGTCTGACTGATGGCTTAGGCCCACTCCGGGAGGGGAGCCAGCAGTTAGACATCCTTAGTGCTGCCACGGAGGCGGGAGAGGCTCCTGCCACTGCCACTACACTCGCCAGCCACGAGCCTGTGGGAATGCACTGACCACCAGGGGCAGCTCCTGTGTTGAATGTCTGCCCCCCTGGTGGTCAATGTGCATCATAGTGACCAGTCATCCCGTCATCTGGTCAATTTGCATATTAGCCTTTTATATATAGGATGTCACCCCAATAAATTAAAGAAACCTCAAGAGTTTCTCTGACTAGACATGAATTCCACCTTTACTGAGCTTGTAGTTGAGTTAGATTGTTTCTCCTCACCCCCCCCACCCCCCAATTCATGTGTTGAAATTATAACTCCCAGTGCTCAGAATGGACCTGTGTTTGGAATGTTGATTTTCCAACTCCTTTTTTTTTTTTTATGTGAGAGAGAAATAAACTTTTATCTCAGCCTTGTTATTTTCAATTTTTTGTTATAGGAAAGGGAATCTAATCCTAACTGATTTAGCTGCTTACAAAAATAAAAAGATGTTACATTCAAATCCAAATTTCTGTCTTCACTTGAAAAATAAGCTCACTTGAAAAATAAACTCTGGCCACTCTGGGCCCACATTTCTCTGTGGCTCATTGGGGTTGGGGGTGAGGAGAGCCCCTTTATTCTGGGCGTGAACTCCCGCCTCCAGTTCATAGGGTTCTCGCTGATCTCAATTGATATCTTACATCTCCCAACTTCCACATTTATACTGCCTGCCTGCCTCTGCAGGCATTTCCGTTTGTGACCTCTGACCCATCTCCTCTGAGCCTCAGTTTCCTCCATGGTGAAACGGGGCTAATAGGACCTCCCTTTTAGGCTACTGGAAAGTGGGAAGATTAAATGAGTTACTATTGGGGATAGATGTAAAATACCGAAGTGACATTCACAAGTCTCACTGTTATTGTTACCATCATCGTCTTCATCTATATGGGAAAGAATGTGACTTTTTTGGTGGATGATCTAAAATCAGACGCAAAAGCAGGGGAACAGCTCAGACTCTGGTAAGCGTTTCCAGCATGTGATCACGCCTGGAACAACTTCTCTTTTCAGCCCAGGGACAGTTTCCCTCCCAATGTTTATGTCATCTCTCCCTTTAAAAGTGTTAGCAGCTTCTTGCATCTGTAAAGGATGGAGCTGCTTTTGATCTTTCCATCAGCTCCCAGCTTCTCCCTTCCGAAAGGCAGGGGCCACCCTTGGCTTCTGTCCTCAGCCCCAGATCTGTCCAGCCCAGGCCCGTCTGCCATCACTCCTCTGTGGGGCTGGAGCTGAGGGCAGAGCCCACTGAGGAGGGGGCTTCCGGGTGAATCCACAGAATGAGGGAGAGGAGGCTTTTCCTTTGTGTCTCATTTCCCTGAGGCCGGGACCTCCCGAGGGAGAGGCAGTAAAAGGAGGACATTGTGTGGCCTAACTCAAGGTGGAAGGAGGCAGACACACATAGTATAGGGAGGTCTGGGGTTATGCTGTAGAAGTCACCCTCAGCGTGTGCAGTCTTGCTGTGCTGACCTCCTCTCTGCGAAGGCTGCCTTCTGTGAGCACCTGCACCTCCAGACTTGGGGGTGGGGGGTTCTTAACTGGCTGCAGCAGGTCGCTCCATTGTGTGCAGGACCAGAGGCGTGCTGGAGAGTCAGGCCCTGGAGCAGCCGTCAACTGATGACGCTGGGACTGGTGGAGAGACACCCAGCTCCCTCGCCTTGCAAATAAGAGAGCTCGGGATGCGAGGGGTGTGGGAGAAAGGGTCTGGTAGAGACCAGGAAGGAGGCCCATGCTAAGAGAGTGAGCTGACTGGACGAGGGAAGCCCCTCCCGCCTCGCCCATGCACTTCCTGTTGAAGTGGAGAACTCGTGGGCCTGTCCTCGGGCTGCAATCCGAGCCTGCTTGGTAGGCCGACAACCAGGTCATGCTGTCCCTGATGCACCGGGGTGCCATGGGGACCGGGGGGAGGACAGCGGTCAGGAGCTCAAGCTCTGGGATCAGATCTTGTTTTTCTGACTCACAAGCTGTGTTGATCGTCAGCAAGTCTTTTAAGCCCTCTGAGCCTCAGTCTGCCCTCCCGGTATCCCTGTGGTGAGCATCCCTGCCCCCATCTCCGTGGACAATGGACAGGAGTTTCTCCAGAGCACATCCCTGCGGTCCGGAGAAGCTGGGTGGTAGGAAGTGGGCGCCTTCAGTGTAATTAATGAAGGCCAGGGGCGCTCTGCAGCGATGAGCGGTTACACTCCCACCCGGGTGTGTGCTTCCTCTGCTCCTGGGCGTCTTTATGCAGCACAAGATGCACGTTCCTCAGCTTGCTTTGTTTTCCCCTTACTATGTGCGCTGCAGATATTTTTATACTGTATCAGCCATCTAAATATGCCTCGTTTTTAAAACAACAACAACAAAGTTTTATTGAGTTTTAACATAATTATAGAAAAGTGCACAGTGGGATGAATTTCCAGTGAAAACCACATGAGTAATCAATGACTACATAATGCTCCCCTCACCCCAAAAGCCCCCTGCCTTCCCCTTCGCGCTCCCTGCCAAAACGCCTTTGTAAACAATTTGTAGTGTGTGTGTGTGTGTGTGTGTGTGTGTGTGTGTGTGTTTCCTTTGGATAAACAGTATGTGTCAGACTATCTGTGTTGTTGCCTGTAGCGACATTTGGCAATGTCTGGAGACGTTTGTGGTTGTCACAGCTTGCAGAGGGGATGCTGCTGGTATGTAGTGGGTGGGGTCCAGGGATCTGGCTACACAGCCTGCAACTCCCAGGACAACCTCACGGCAGAGAACACCAAACCCCAGTGTCAGCGGTGCCAACACTGAGAAAGCTGTTGTAGACCAGGCTGAGAACTTTGGATTAGATGTATGTTCAGATTAACTAGATCCCGCCAAACTATTTTCCAAAGTGGTGCACCTTCCTTCTTGATTAATGCTTGCATCCTTTTCCATTCCATGGGCATCATTTTACCAGTTCCCATTGATTAACTTTATAGAGTTTACCACAATCTTTCGACCTTTTCACCAGTGTCAAAATGCGAACCCTGGTCACAGTGTATTTAGAGAGAATATCGTGTGTATATATAAACACACAAACTCTCTCTCACACACACAGTCTCTCTCTGGAGACGCCCGACAATGCAAACAGGACCAGAATTAATGTAAGCGGAATTTCCTTCACCCCAGCATGTCGAACATGGAACTGACTTACAGAAATAGCTCCTGTCATCTTGGCTTCTGCTGCGGGTCCTCATCGAGTGCAAGCGGACACACGATCTGGAAAGATAAACAGGAAATGCCTGGCTGCCTGGGAAGATGGGGCAGGCCTCTGTTCCACCCAGAGCTGGGACCCGAAAACGCGCCGTGTCAGCCCAGTGGCCCCAGAAGACCCGAGCTGACCTGCCTCCGCCCACAGGCAGGACTGACCAGCTCCGAGGATGATTTACAGGCTTTGCTCTGACTGCTTCATGTGAGCTAACTCCGCTTTGAAACGACTCTCTGGCCTACAGGCATCTCCATGCCTTTTATCTTTATCTAAAATGCAAACAATGAGCAATGCTTTGATTTCAACTGCACTGCTTTAAACTATAACGACATAATATGTCCTTATCGTTTTATCAGGCCTAGTTTTTCAAGCAGCTGGCATAACAATTTAAAAGAATAAACTCTAAACAAATATTACAGGAACAATAAAGTCAATAGAACAGAAATTTTAAAATTTGCATCATATAAAGGAAGACAAAGCCCAGACTCATCCAGTTACTTTAAAATTTTTTAAAAATATGTTTTATTGATTTTTAGAGTGAAAGGAAGGGAGAGGGCGAGAGAGAGAGAGAGAGAGAGAGAGAGAGAGAGAGAAGAGAGACAGAGAAAGAGAGAGAGAGAAACATTGATCAGTTGCTTCCCCTTTACACCCTGGCTGGAGACCAAACCTGAAAGCTGGGTATATGCCCTCACCAGGAATTGAACCAGCAACCTTTCAGTGCATGGGATAATGCCTAAGCCACACCAGCCAGGGCAGATGCAACAGGGACCAGAGCATTCTGAGTCCATAAAGATGTCAAAAAATAAAAAGATAAATACTGGTAAGTGATTGTCTTACTCTGTAAATTTAAACTGAATGTAATCAGCCATATAAAAGAGCATGGACCTTTTTTTTTCCCAGGCGGCTGCCGAAGATGGCAGAGGGGCAGGTCCTGGTGCTAGATGGTGGAGGCCATCTCCTGGGCCGCCTGGCTGGTGGTTGTGCGTTGTGAGGGCATCAGCATTTCTGGCAATTTCTACAGAAACAGGTTGAAGTACCTGGCCTTTCTCCGCCAACGAATGAACACCAGCCCATCCCGCGGCCCTTACCACTTCTGAGCCCCCAGCCGCACCTTCTGGCGGCCGGTGCGAGGCAAGCTGCCCACAGACTGAGCGCAGCAGGCCGCCTTGGGCCGCCTCAAGGTGTTTGACGGGATCCCGCCGCCCTACGACAAGAAAAAGCGAATGGTGGTTCCCGCCGCCCTCAAGATTGTGCGTCTGAAGCCTGCCGGGAAGTTTGCCTACCTCAGGAGCCTGGCTCATGAGGTTGGCTGGAAGTACCAGGCCGTCACAGCCACGCTGGAGGAGAAGAGGAAGGAGAAGGCCCAGATCCACTACTGCAAGAAAAAGCAGCTCATGAGGCTACGGAAACAGGCCGAAAAGAACGTCGAGCCAAAACCGGTTTAGCTCAGTGGATAGAGCGTCAGCCTGTGGACTGAAAGGTTCTAGGTTTGATTCCGGTCAAGGGCATGTACCTTGGTTGCGGGCACATCCTCAGTAGGGGGTGTGCAAAGAGGCAGCTAATTGATGATTCTCTCTCATCAATGTTTCTAACTATCCCTCTCTCTTCCTCTCTGTAAAAAAATAAAATAAAATATATATATATATATTTTTTTTTAAAAAGAACGTCGAGAAGAAAATTGACAAATTCACAGAGGTCCTCAAGACCCATGGACTCCTGGTCTGAGCCCAATAAAATTGACTGTTATTCCTCATGCTTGGCCTGGCCTGCCCTTCCTCATCGCTGCCCTAGGATGTGGGGAGCCCCAGGGGTTGTTCCGGGGCCACGGGCACCTTACCCTGGGCCTTAGAAGGCTGGGGACACAGAAGGCTCCTTAGTCACTGCTATTTAAAGAAAGGCCTTTCGAAAGTTTTACGTGGCCCTGTCAGTTGGGCATACTTTGCCTGTGACCTACTCAGAGTTTTAGGAAATCAGCAGCTGGAACAGCTACCGTATTTTTCGGACCATAAGATGCTCCGGACCATAAGACGCACCAGTTTTTAGAGAAGGGAAATGAAGAAAAAAAGATTCTGAAACAAATAGTGTCCTAAAATATTTTATGTTCATTAAAACCCAACATCACAGTCATAAACACATGTAATCAACCCTGTAAAGTAAACAGCAGCATTTAGAACCATTTTAGAGCCGGGCAAGCACACAGAGACCACACAGAGTCGGGCAAGTAAAAAAACTTTTTTTAAAAAGTATATGTGTAGGCTATATTTGGACCATAAGACGCAGGGACTTTTCCCCCCCACTTCTGGGGGGGAAAAAGTGCGTCTTATGGTCTGAAAAATACGGTAGTTGCCTTCAGCGTTTCTAAGCTGGAAAACTAAACTTCCCACAAGATACTAGCTGTTAGGATGTAGCAAATGCTCGGGGGCAGGATGGACCTGGGATTGTGCAGAGGGATTGACAGATGCACCAGCAGGATGGCGATCACAGTCTCCGGCATCGCACTTGCACGTTCCTTTACCTTGTGATCAGAAAATGAATAAATTATTTTTAAAGGAAAAAAAAAAAGCATGGAAATAGAGCTGCAGAGAGACAATTTCGATCTCCTCCCACTGAGTGTAGGATCAGACAGTAGAGAAAACAGGACAAACAATTCCTTCCTCAAGATGCCATAAAAAGAAGGATGCCTTAAGAGGAAAACCAGAAAAATGTTTAAAATACGAATTTCTTAATTTTTGGGTTGGAAAAGTGGGGCGTCTTATGCATGGGGGTGTCTTATAACAGAGAAATATGGTACTTATTTATTTTTAATATATTTTTATTGATTTTAGAAAGGAAGGGAGAGGGAGACAGAAACATCAATGATGAGAGAGAATCATTGATTGGCTGCCTCCCACACATCCCTCACTAGGGATTGAGTCTGAAACCCGGCATGTGCCCTTGAATCAAACCCAGAGCCCTTCAGTCTGCAGGCCTACACTGCCCACTGAGCCAAACTAGCTAGGGCGGACACCTTAAATTTCTTTAGCAACTACCAAGTGCCAGGCTCATCGTAGGGCATTTTGCGTAATTGTGAGGGGGTCTAGGTTGAAGTTAAGAGAGTGGCTGATTTGAGCTCGCCCTGCTTCTTACTAGTCATATGACTTTAGGCAATTATTTAACTCCTTTGAGCCTCAGTTTCCTCACCTGGAAAAATGGGCAGATAATGGTGCCAACCTCAGGGGGTGCTGTGGGGGACTCAGCAAATTGATGCCTGGGGAGGACTTAGCACAGAATCTGGCCAGGAGGGTGCCCATTGATGTGTTCTTAGTATCAAGAACCCTTGGTGATAAAAAATATGTAGTATAGCCTGGCCAGCATGATTCAGTAGTTAAGTGTTGACTTATGAACCAGAGGATCATGATTTGATTCCAGGTCTGGGCACATGGCCACTCTCAGTTCCTAGTAGGGGACATGCAGGAGGCAGCCAATCAATGATTCTCATCATTGATGTTTCTATCTCTCTCTCTCCCTCTCCCTTCCTCTCTGAAATCAATCAATCAATCAATCTATCTATCTATCTATCTATCTATCAATCATCTATCTATATATTTTAAACAATATGTGGTATATACATAGGAGGAAAGCTTATTCATCCTTTTTTAAAAAAATATATTTTTATTGATTTTGTCCAGAGAGGAAGGGAGAGAGATAGAGAGTTAGAAACATCAATGAGAGAGAGTCATCGATCAGCTGCCTCTTGCATACCCTCCACTGGGGATATGCCCACAACCAAGGTACATGCCCTTGACCGGAATCGAACCTGGGACCCTTCAGTCCCCAAGCCGACGCTCTATCCATTGAGCCAAACCAGTCTCGGCCTTATTCATCCTTGATAAAGAAGAAAATCCTGCCATTTGTAACAACAAGAATGGAACTAGAGGACATTAAACTAAGTGAAATAAGCCAGACACAGAAGTCAAAAATTACATGATCTCATTTATGGTGGAAGCTGACATAGCCAGATCCGTGGAACAGTGGTTGCCAGGGGGCTGGAGGGAAGGACAAAGGGGAGATGTTGGTCAAAGGGTACAGAATTTCAGTTGTGCACAGTATGTTCTGGAGCTTTTCTGTATAGAACAACATAAGGCCTGTGCCTAAAAATACTGTATTATTACTTAAAATTTTGCTAAGAAGGTAGATCTCATGTTAAGTGCTCTTATCACAAAAGAGAAAAAACGCAAAGAGGGTAGAAGGAAATGAGGTGATGGATAACGTTATGGCATTGATAGTGATAGTTTCATGGGTGTATATTTGTCTCCCGATGCATCATATTGTGTACATTAAATCTCCATATAGATATAGATTTAAAAATCCTCAGTGAGACCAGAATGGCTAGCTCTGAGCCTCAGGTGGGACCACTCTCTCTTCCCCCCTTTATAAGCCTTTCTTCTCCCCAGCCCTGCACTTCCCCAGATCTCTAGTTGCCCTGTGGTGATGTGTGTGTGTGTGTGTGTGCGTGTGTGTGTGTGTGTGTGTGCGTGTGTGTGTGCGTGTGTGTGTGTGTGTGTGTGGTGGGAGCAGGGGGTGGGAAGAGGAAGGTAAGAGGAAATAACCAGGACAGTGGCTGGAGTTCAGTAAACAAGCTTCTGTGAAGTGGGCAGAAGGGCCCCGCTATGAGCTGTCTACTTGGTTTTCACTGCAAGCTTCATAATAATCCTTCCATTTTTATTTATAACATGTTCCCCTGTCCACGAAGCTCACATCTGCCTGCTAATTGCCACACTCCACTCCTCTAGCAATTCTGTGAAGGGACAGGATTCTCATCGCCATTTTATAAATTAAGCAAAAGAGGCTAAAGGTCACCCAGCAGAGCAGACACAGAACCCAGCTCGTCTGGCACAAGTTCAGGGCTTTCCTCTCCCACATCCTGCTGCAGACCAGCAGCTGATAAAGCTGTTTCTGAAATAGTTTAAGACCTAGAGCTGGAAGCAAACAAACAAACAAACAAACAAACATTTTTGGCCAAGAGAGGTTTTGAAAAATAACATGTCAAATCCTTGGCTTTTCTCCTGATGTGGCTGCTTGTCCCTCATCCACTATTATCTTCACCCTGCTATCCAGAAACAAAGCAGTGGACTAGTTAACTCATTCATTCATTCATTCATTCATTCATTCATATAGTTCCTATTATAGATGGAACTAGAGGCCTCATGCATGAAATTCATGCACTGGAAGGGGGTCCTCAGCCTGGCCTACGTTCTCTAGCAATCGGGGACCCCTCAGGGAATGTTGGGCCTAAGCCTGCAGTCAGAAATCCCTCTCCCAATCCAGGACGCTGCAAGCACCAGTGACCATACTTTTCATACAGGTGAAAGGCTTCTTGCTGCTGTATGGGCAGTTACATTTTTTTTGCCCTGATTATAAAAAGTAATACATAACATGATCCCTCTGAGGCAGTCGTACCATTTTCCCCATCTTATGGATGGAAAAATTGAAGCAGAGAGAAGTTAATTGGCTTTGTTACACACTTATATGTCAGAATCAGGGCTGACCACATGCCAGAGTCCATGCATGTCATTGCTGCATCATCCTGTTTTTCCAGTGTTTGAGTAGCCTTGCCAGGTTTTAATTTTTAAATCTAAGAGACTGTTCCCAATATATAAGGTAGAGACCCTAGGCCTGGTTGGTGATTAGGGCCGATCTGTGGGGTGACTAGCAGGTAGGGGTTTGGGAGGTGGGGGGTACCCCTGCTGGCACCCGCTTTGGTTGGTGACCTGGTGCTGCCTGCTGGGGTGGCGCACTCAATGCAACTCCTGCATTGAGTGTCTGCCTCCTGGTGGTCAGTGCATGTCATAGCAACCGGTTGTTCAGCCAGTTGTTCCACCGTTTGGTCGATTTGCATATTAGGGTTTTATTATAAAGAATCGTATCTGCCCTTCTCTCCCCAGTTCATATGCTGGAAGTCCTAATCCCCAATACTCCGGAATGTGACTGTATAGGGAGGGACAAAAGTAGGTTTCTAGTGGTTTGCATGGAAAACAATAAAATAATTATTAAATAATAATATAAGAACCAACTCTGTATTTTTCGTACTCACAACTATAAACCTACTTTTCTCCCCGTATTTGGAGATAGGGCCTTTAAAAAGAGATATTTAAGGTAAAATGAGGTCATATTGGTGAGACCTAAACCAATATAATGGGTGTCCTCACAACGAGAGGAGAGTAGGACACAGACACATAAATGGAGAGGCAACCATGTGAGGAAAGAGCAAGAAGGTGGCCATCTGCAAACTAAGGAGAGAGGCCTCAGGAGAAACCAGACCTGCTGACACCTTGACCTTGGACTTTCAGCACTTTGAGAAAGAAATTTTGTGTTTAAGATTCCCAGGCTATGGTATTTTGCTGTGGCAGCCCCAGGTGACTAATCCACTCAGACATTCCTTCATTCCCACTTTTATATACACCTTTCTTCCTGCAGGCCTTTACTTAACTGTCACCCAGCAAGGCTTCCGTAGCACCCCTAGTCCCTTCTCTGCTTCATTTTTCTCTAGCATTTATCACTATCTGGAAATCCATATATTTGCATGTTTATTGCCACACAACAAGGGGAGGGATGTTTGTCTGTTTTGTTCACTGCTGCATTTTCAATGCCAAGGGCACAGTAGATGTTCAGTAAGTGTATATTGAATGAATGAGGTCATGCACCCACTCTACCAATCAACAGCATCTAAGCTATGCTTTAGCAGCAGTACTATGTCAGGGGCTGGGATATACC